CAGCTGCTGAAAATATCCCAACGCCCAGGCCTGCGCTCGTGGCTGCAACAGCCCCTCTTGCTGCTGGGACAGGAGGACTCAAGCTTTGGAGGGGGAAAGCAGGAGGGCCTGTGCCCACCCTAGAACCAGGGCCCAGGTGGTACCCAAAATCCCAAGTTTCACCGTCCCTCTGCAGTCGGTCCAGATAGAAGTCAGTCGAGATGAGAGGGATGTCCACTCCAGGTGTCTAAATAGGGCATCAACATGTGGAGTGCGAATCTGGGCTCCACTCAGTGTCAGAGTTTTAGGGCAGAATTCAGTTGCCTGAACACCAGGACCAGCTCCCACTTGTGAGGCCTTGGAAAATTCCTTACGGTGCCCTGGGGTCCACAGATGCCTGGAGACAACGGCTTTCAGGCAACTGAATCCCGCCTTGACTCAGTTGCATCCCAGGAGTCGGCAGAGAGACTCCAAGGCAGACTACACAGCAGATTAGGCAGCCTCACGTAAATGCTTGCCTATGGATCCCCATGAGTGCAGTCTGCCTCTGAGTCGCCCTCCAAATGTCTGTGAAACCTGCAGGCATGGTCCTTTTCTCAGCCTGTGCTGATGTTTGGCTCCAGAGTGGAGGCGAAAGTCCTTCTGCTTCAAATTGCTCTCCTGACCCAAGTGGCCGAGATGGGGGTGGCGGAACAAGAGACTGCATCTCACTGGTGCCTGAAGGTATTTTGCTCCACGAGGAACTGTACCTGGGATAGGGCCTGAGAGGAACAAGGGCTCTGAGAGAGCTGGTTGATATTGAAGGATCACCTCCTCCAAGCTCCAGAACGGTCCATGCCAGTGAGCAGGGGAGATGGAGCAGAGCGGAGCAGGTGGCCTGCCTGGATAACAAGGAGCTCCTGGCAAAACTCCAACCTAAGAAGGAGGTATACAGAGGGTGGAAGCAGGGACAGGTCACCTGGAAGGAATAGAGGCACCTTGTTGGAGTATGCAGGGCTTGGGCTAGGAAGGCCAAAGCCCACCTGGCGTTGAATGTGGCAAGGGAAGCTAAGGATAGCAAAAAGGGCTTCTCTAAAAACATCTGGAACTAAAGGAAAAGTGGGCCTGCTGCTGAACGGGGCAGGGGCCTGGTGCCAAAGGGCCCAGAAAAGGCTGCAGCACTGCACACCTCCCTTGCCTTAGTCTTTACTGGTAAGACAGGCCCTCAGCAATCCCAGGCCCCAGAGACCAGGGAGAAAGTCTAGAGAAAGGAAGACTCTCCCTTGGCGGAGGAGGATGGCGTTCGGGATGGCTTAAGCAAACTGGACAGCCACAGGTGCATGGTCCCTGATGGGATGCACCTACAAGTGCTGTGGGTGCTGGCCAACGCCCTTGCAAGGCCACTCTCAATCCTCTTGAAAAGGTCATGGTGATTGAGAGAGCTGCCTGAGGACTGGAAGAAGGCAAGTGTCACCCCAGCCTTCCCAAAGGGCAAGAAGGAGGTTGCAGGGAACTACAGGCTAGTCAGGCTCTCCTCGACCCCTGGGAAGGTGATGGAGCAGTTGATGCTGGATACCTTCTGCTGGAAAAATGGGCAGAGAGGAAGTTCAAGAAAGAGGGAGTTCAAGAGAGCATCTCTCCTATGAGAAAAGGCTGCGGAAGCTGGGACTGTTCAGCCTGGGAGAAGAGAAGCCTGAGGACGGAGGTTATCAATGCATCTACATATGTGAAGGGAGGGTGTAAAGAAGATGGACCCCGCCTCTTTTCAGTGGTGCCCCATGAGAGGATGAGAGGCAATGGGCACAAACTGAAACACAGGCTGTTCCATCTGAATCTAAGAAACACTGCTTTGCTGTGCGGGTGACGGAGCACTTGCTCAGATTGCTCATAGGGGTTATGGGGTCTCCATCCTTGGAGATATTCAAAACCTGATGGGATGTTATCCCAGGCAGCCTCCCTGCTCTAGGTGACCCTGCTTGAAAAGGGGGTTGTGACCAGACAGTATCCAGAGGTGCCTGCCAACCTCAGCCCTTCTCTGATTATCACAAAGTCACAGCAGTGATGTTAGTGCAGCTATGAGGTTAGCTTTGAACAGCGCTCCCATGGATGAGTTTTGGATGTTATTCATAAAACAGCCAGCATGGTTAAAAATATGCTCGTGGGTCAGGTCAGGATTTAGCTCAGGAGTTTGCTGGAAGCAACAGCAGAAAAAGCAAAAAGCAAAACAGCAAAGGTATTGAGCAAGCTATTGCAAGCCATGCCTGGGGTGGATTTCTGCCTTCCTGGATACCGCTGATCACTGTATACAAAATCTGTAGCTGGGGGATGAGAACTGCATTTGGATGGAACTGTAAGTAGTTAAGCACTGTGGAACAGGTTTCTAAGGCCTGTCTTATCTAAAGTGGAGCAGGGGCCTGGAAATGGCACTTCTGGGGGAATATTACAGGATTACGGAGGACAAGCTGCCCCATGGGAATTTGGAGAGTTTCCACTGTGACAAGAAGACCTAGTATTAATCTAAATTAAATTTCCTCAATTTATACCTATCCTGGTCCCATTTGCCCCTGTGGTTAAGAATAAATATATCAGGGCTCTAGACATTAATCAAATATTTTCTGTTTCATTCCTTTGCTCAAATACATTTGTATGATAAATGAAGAGAATGCAAGGCTATCTCAGGACTCTGGACATGTGGCCTCATCTTTGAAGATGATATACAGACTTTTTAAAGGTTCTGGGAAAACCTAAATACCTGGGAGAATGGGATACACAAAAAAGTAGAATATAAGAGAAAATCCATCACTGTAAGAACCTTAAGCGCTCAGAAATTTAGCAACTAGCTTGGAACTTAACTACCAGCAAAACAATCTGAAAACAGCTTGCTTATAGTGCGAAATTTCCTGGTTAGGGAGAAAAACTAGTGCAGTGAAGAATTATTGAATCCCGTTAAATAACAAGAACCTAGGTCTGGAAACTGAAAAGACACAAATTCAAACAGAAAATGAGTCCTGGGGGGAATGCAGCCACAGGAGAAATTCTCACTATACCCTCCTTGAAGTTACCAGGCTCCTCTATGCAGCTAGTGGAAGCAGGGAAGGAGGAAACTCAGCCTGGGAGTGAGAGGAAAGTACCTGCCAAATAACTTCGTACAAGTGCCAGGGCTGGAAAAGTCTCAGCTAGGCTTGTCTCTCACGTCACATTACCTCACATTAACGTGTCTCTCTCATTACCTTCTCATTGCCTCTGCCCACAGAAAGAAATCCTCCTCTTCCACTGAAGCAGCCTTCAGAAACAAGAGCACATGCTCCACCGACCAAACATCCAGCTGGATAGCCCTCACAGGTAACAAATAAGGAGGACAAGCCTCATGGACATCTGTGATTTCTGTGTAGGAAACGCTTACACTCACCAGCGAAGCAGGGCACACAGAAACCAACCTAGCAGTGGGCAGATCCACATGTCCTGGGCATGGGCACAGGGTTGGCTAGCCAACTTCCATGTCTGGCTCAAGCCCTGTTGCCACAGGTTCAGCGTGGGTCTGCCTTGTACCCTACTCCCCAGTATAGCTGTGCCATGAAAAGTGCACAAGGGCACAGCCCGTGTCCTCATCCCACTTCCTGACTTTTGGTTGAAAATGAACCCACAGCAACCACAGCCTTCACCGACAAGCAAAAACCTCTCTTGCCAGCAAACTTGTACTTAAACTGAGTGCAAATACCTAACCTACTGATCAGGCTGGATGAGCTGGATATTTTGGTAGGTCCTGCAGTGACCCTTGGGTAGAACAGGTGCTTTGACTGTTTGACCCTTCACTAAGTAGGAATGTTTCTGTACTGTGTTTTTTACACATGGATCTACTTTCATGTGTATCCGGCAATTAGTTTACTCCCAAGAATGTGAAGTAATTTTTGGCCTCTAAATTGAAGGCATGAGATTCTACTTTTTTACTCTGGTACTTCTGGGTGCTCATATAATACAAGATGCTACATGAGCCTGTGCAAAGGCAAGAAAAGGTTCCCCCTTTGTTCTAGCAATAGCTGTACAGATAGGGTTCTGAGACACATTATATTGAGTGGTTTATTTATTAGTATTGGAAAGGCATTGTCACTGTAATGAATTTTAGAACTGTAAACACTGTAAAGCAAGTCTTTTGCTGCTCAGAGTAGGGAGGACAGGATTCTAAACAAAGCATAGATAGGTTTCGCTGTTATCCTACTGGTAATGTAGCTGTCATAGCCATTTTATATTATATTTTTCATATATTTTTTCAGTAAAATAATTTTTTTATTTCCACAGCCTTTGATTCTGTTAGCTTTGGCTGAAGGACCAATATCTTAATGTCATCTCCGAATGCTTTATTACAGTTATATGTTGAAATCCAAGAAAGTTTTATCAGTGGAAGATAAACGCTTGACATCAAACTCCGTCAGCATTTGTTACTGAGAGTCCCAGAATCTAACTCTCGCAGCATAGATAGTTTTTTTGTTGCAGAGAAGCATAAGATTTAACCAGGTTATGCACACAGGATTTTTTTTTGCAGCAGAAGGAATG